AGGTCCAACGTAATTTAACAAAGAAAATAGTTTTTTCAACTTACATATTGTAAATTCACTCAAGAAACAGAAAAAACAGCATGTGCAGCATGTTTAATGCCCTGTTTAATATTTGGTTGCACACCCGTTGGCAGTGATGACAGCCTCCAAACGTTTCTTGTAGCCATCTACAAGCTTCTTGCACTTCTCAGCTGGTATTTTCTCCCACTCTTTCTCTGCAAATTGTTCAAGCTCTTGAATGTTTGCAGGTTTCTTTTCCCCAATGGGAGATTTCAGTCATACCAAAGATTTTCAATCGGGTTGAGATCAGGGCCGGTATTTATCAACCTTCTTAAAGTGCCACTTTAGTCTTAAGTGCTGAGAATTCATGAAATTTACTCCTATTTTTCAACTTAAGAATAAAAGCAAGTGATCAAATTTCTGAAAGCTAAGAATCACTCTTACACTCCCAGTTATTTAAGACCGCTCGAGAGGTCTCTCAAGTGGTTAGGAGCTGCCAGTAGGGCTTGTGATGGCGCTGTGGAGACAGAGACATGCATCTTATGGGAGAGGAATAATGTTTCTGAATTATTTGACGACGTGTAGACGGGGTCGGACAGCGCAGGCATAAACTTTGTCAGCGAGTTGGTGAGGGACGTCATCTCACCACTGACTTTACGCAGTAATTAATGCTTTTTCAGCTAAACTGAAGGTTGTGATGATGCTTCGTTTCTTTGCCACAGGACAAATGCAGCAATGCTGATGATTGTGGCCGTCACAACAATCAATAAGCCGAATAGTCATGGAAACAATTAAAGCACTTAGGCTACAGCTCCACACACTGTCAAGCGTTTCATCGACTTCCCAACAACACACCCTTAATCCAACAGAAGCAAACAGTTCATGCAAATAGCCGGCTTCACCGTAGTAGTAGGCGTATGATGGCGCTCATATATAGATATTTATTAAAATGTAGGCCTATATCATAATGTATTCTCTTAAATTCTTTATTGTTAAATGTTTGTTGAATATAAACTCCTCTTTGGAATTTCACCACTCAATGTGAATTTATCTGAGAATTTTCTTAAATAAGGAAATCTATTCAGTTATTGGTCTTTGCCTACATCGTGATCCAAAATCCTGTTTGCAGCACAGCATAGTGTGGTAAATCAGCTCTAAGACTGACACTTAAGATTTAGTCCTACATTTCACTTAAATTAGGACTATGATGCTTGATAACTAACTTGTAAGCACAGCTTTGAGCCAAGAATTTTTTTACTCAAGTCAGTTCTTAGCAGTGTTCTTATGAGTGATTCTGAGGAGCTTGATAAATACGGACCCTGGACTCATTGCTGGCCATTTTAAAACAGTCCATTTTTTCCTTTTCAACCATTCCTGCATGCTTTTGGATGTGTGCTTTGGGTCTTTGTCTTGCTGGAGGACCCATGATCTTCGACTCAAACCAAGTTTTCTTAGACTGGGTAGGACATTTCGCTCTAAAATCTCTTGATAATTGTCTGAGTACCAGATCTGAGTACCAGATGCAGCAAAGCAGCCCCACAGCATTATGGATCCTCCACCATGTTTAACTGCATTGCCAAAAAGCTCCATTTTTGTTTCATCTGTCCAAAGAACATTTTCCCAGAAGGATTGTTGTTTGTCCAGGTACTCTGTGGCAAAGATGAGTCATTCCTTTTTAAGTCTTTTTCTCAGCAATGGTGTCTTCCTTGGCCTTCGCCCATGAAGCCTTGTTTGGTTTAGTATGCAGCGAAGGCCATGTAAGCCTTCAGGTCTTTGGATGTTTGCTGTGGTGTTTTGTCCACCATTCGCAGCAACCTTCGCAGACTTCTCTATCAACTTTTCTCTTCCCCCCCACATCCAGGGAGTTTCTTGACAGTTCCATGCTTGGCAAACTTCTTAATAACATTAGGCACTGTTGAAACAGGGATACCAAGGTCTTATACCCTTTAGAGGTCTTGTGTTTGCTAATTTTTTGCATTTCTGATGTCCTCAGACAGCTCCTTTGTCTTTACCATTGTGACAAAGGAACAGGAGATAACAGATGGCGTTTTAAAACACGGAAGTCATCATTCATTGGCTAATTCATGTCACATGGGCACAGACAATTTATCACAGGCGATTCTCATTTGTGATTTACCACAGGTGAGTGGTTTACAGCAAAGGGTGCCAATACCAGTGACACAGCAAGCTTTAAGTTTTTCTATTTATTGTTTGACATTTGCTTTTTTGTATCAAACACGAGTTCTCTACAGAACAGAATTGTTTCACTTGATTCATTTTTTTAGAAGATATTCCACATGATGTACTTAAACTTCATGGGTGCCAATAATGGTGAGCAGGACTGTACATTGTCAGAAATACATCAGGAGAACAACTGGTGTGTCTGTTTACGGTGCAGCCAAACGATATCACTGGGAGCGGCATTGGAGGTTTGTTGTGGTGGCGGCATCCACCATGTTTTAATAAAGAAGTCGGTTTCTACTTCTACTACTGCACACTGAATGATTGATGAATAATTGCAGTCGGTGCTTACTGTCGTGTCACACTACGGTTTCTTGTGACTGCTCTACAAAAGTCTGCAAACACAAAATGTTTGTTTACTGTTCACCCTCTTTACAACGTAGCAGATGTATTAACAGCTGTTATAACTGAGATAAAATTACTGGTTTATATGCATGAAGAATCCCTGGTGCATGCGAAGGCCATTTAAATACAGGCTGGACAATTCCACTACCAATAAAAACTACTACATAAAGAGGTCATCAAAAAATGTAAATACATTAAATGAATGACTTTTTTTCATAAAATAAATTCATGTAACCATGCAGTAGCCTCAGAAAGGCTAAATAATAAACATAACATTATGTGTTGGGTGGTTGTTATCCTGCAGAATAGTGCAGTGGAACGCTGGGATGAAGCGCTTGTGAAGTGAGAGGGAAAAAGTCCTACAGCTAACTGTTTCATAATCAAAGAGTACATATATTAATCAGAGAACTCACATAAGAATATAGCCCTAAAACTTTTTGATTCTGTCAACATCAGCATGGAGGTGCACAGAAACAGCTCTCTCTCTCTCTCTGGGTTGTTCTTAAGCAGTTGTCACATGTACAGTATCTTGGCAATAGTTTGACGTAGCTTCTGAGAGGGCTCATTAGAATGATCTAATATGACTTCACTCCAAACATAATGCGAACAGGTTCACTCAAATATTGGTATATTGATACTACATACTCCTGAACAAGAGTGCATGTTTGAAAATGTCCTTTCTTGTTACCAGCCACAAATCAAGTCATTTTGTTGCTCTGTTCCTCAGTCACTGGTTCACGCGGGTCCTCTTGCCGTCCAGCCATCTTCCCAACGGGGACGGCATCACGTGGGACTGCACCTTTATCAGAAGAGACCCCATGGCCATCTAAGCCTCACCCTTTTCACTCTGAACCATATAAAAAAAACTCCTACACTTTTAACAATGACATACAAGCAATGTGACTTGTTTCATTCGGTTGTGGCCAGCTAGAAACTGTTACAATCATTTCATAAGGGAAAAAAAGAAGTTTATCAAAGTAAGAGGTGTTTTTTTGTTTTTTTTGCTGCATTGGTATTTGCACTTCTAGAAGTAGGAACCACCAGTGCTTCATCTTCTTAGGATCAGTTCTTACCTGCCACACGCTGACCTCGCACAGTAGGTCTAACCGTAGACCTTGTCACCAGCAGACGTCACCCTCCGACTGCAGCGCTGTTGACTCATTAGATTTATTTAATTATGGTGCTGCTGGACAGCATCGTTTGGTAAGCCCAAACTTCTTTCTTTCTCTCACCCATTTGTAAAGACAGGACGAACTTTTTGTGCTTGTCTTGGACTGAAAATGTTCCCACCCATACTACAGCCTCTTTTGATAAGCGTCTAAGGATGGATCAGGGATACGGCAGAGTGACACCATAACTTGCAGTTACAGCATTTTAAAGGCGCAATGTGTTGCATTTTCAAACATCAATACAGCACATTATAAGCTCAAACTTTAGTAAGATTGGTAGCTGCTGTCTTGTTCCAATTGTCTTGTTAATGCTATCAAATTAAAGGCAACATTTCCCAGAAACTCTGCTTGCTTTCTAATGCAAGTGGTTCTCTGTTTTTATCTAAACCAGTAAATATGATGGTGTTTTTGTTTTCCAATTGACTTTCACTGCTTCCACCAGACTTTGTCCTATTAAGCTTAATTTCTGTACTAATCAGCACCACTTCCTGTTTCGTACAGTCCAGCAGATTTCCCTCTAAATCTGACTGTCTTCTCACAGAAGGTCTCATTAGTTTATACGGTTTGAATGTGCTGGTTCATTGATAACATGCAAACCAGCACCGTTAATAACTGACACTGTATTGATATCTGACTCCATGTTTAGTCAAATATCTGAGCCTTTTGGTTTTGATTGTACATGTTGTCTGAATAACTGTTTGTGTTCCTTAATGTGGAAGAAGCTGTGATTTCCCATCATTTCCCGAAAACTGTGTTTTAAGGTTTACTAATCTGCTGTTGTGTTTTGCGGAGCGTGTGCTAATGACATTGAGAACCACTGCTTTAACTGATGTTCTGGTACCGAAGAAAAGCAAAAAACCGAGTTTTATTCACTGGCATTTTAGGTGAAGGAAAGAAAATCTGCGCAGCATTCATTTCATCATCTTTAACATTTCTTTCTTTAACACTGATAAAGAAAATGTTGTGTGCCTTGTTTGGTTAAGCCTTTAAATAAGGGAATCAGGCACTGTGCAGTAATTCCCTTTCAGATTTTTCACCAACGTGTTCATACAAATAACTTAATGAGTCAGATCTTTAGGTGCCATAGAAACGTGACGTACAGCTATATCATTTGTAACCAGTGGGAGCTGTGCTCCAGTTTGATTTATTCTTTTTTTTTAATAAAACACCTGTTTAATATTTCCTGTCTGAGTTTCCATTTTTAGCTGATATTTAACATGAAAAAAACATGACAAATGCTTTTTGTATAATTACAAAGAAAGGTTTTAATGACATGTTAAGTTAGACATTTTAAATATTGTCTATTTCCTTGGCATAAGTTGATGTGAGGTCCAAAGTCAGCCGAACGTTCTGAAATGACTCAACATTAAACTATGATATAGCATCAAATATTGAGATAATACAGTCATGGTTTCTGACATATTGTTCACATAACTTACAATCTTACTTCAATGGACATTAACCTCAACATAGATATTTAATTATGTAAAATTAATCTTTGAAATTTAACTCACGTCAGTGTAGGTGTGAAGTGCTTAATTCATGTCACCCAGTGAGCATCCCGAGGTAAATTGGCACATCCACATTTTCACAGGTCTCAACGACGCCACCCAGCTGGCACACCAGAGTGACATGAATCAAACACCTCAGTTATTAAAGACATTACTGCTCATTAACACATTCATCCAGGTGAGAAGAAAAGGCTGCTCTCATTTGGCTTGAAGTCCGCTCATCTTTATATCTGGTGAAGTGGAGATCTTTGATGTTTCCAGCAGCCCAAAATCGTCAAAGTAAAAAATAACAAACCCAAACAAATAAAACAAAAGAGCGAATGTTGCCACCACAGGTCAGGAGATAACTACAGTGGCTTTCCCATTTAATGTATGTACTGTTTGCTTTCTCTCTTCATGTAGGATTTGACACGTTCAGAGCATTCAAGAGTAACTTTGAATTTGTAGAAATTAAAATATATTTTTATCAGATCTAAAACAAGTTTGATTAGACTTAAGTCTTGCAAAAAGTGTTACCAATGTCTTGATTATTTTGTTACTAAACTGATGGAAAATCAGCTGATCTTACTAATTGCAGTTATTTATCAAGTTTCAAGTCAACATTCAAAAAAACTGTCTTTTTAATTATGATTATACACCAATATCTGAGGGACTTATTTCAGCTGCTGATCTGACCGAGGAGGAAACCTAAAAGATAAAACTTTGGCCTCTTAGGACGGGCATTTAACTACATGTAATCTGATTTTTTCACAAATGCGTAGCGAGAAAGGTAACATACATGAGGTGTGTTAATTACACTGGTCATTTTCATTCTTTTGAACTTAGACAATGCTCCACAGTCAGTCCATGTACTCTTATTTGTGCGTGGGTAAAGATACAGACAGTTGCAACAAAAACAGTAAAAAGGGAGAGAAGATGAAGGGTGGCTGAAAAGATGAGAGAGAGCGCTCTGGTGTGGACTGGCACAGCTGTGACCCTTGGTACCTGCTCCTGGAGTTTTGACTTTCCCATATCTGTATTCTTGTCTGTAGTTCAGGGAGGATGTGAGACAAGAGGCTCGGACTGTGTTTGAGGAGCAAAATCACCTCCCTCCCGGACTTCCTATAAGGAACCTATAAGGGAAATAGGGACACCTTGTTGTCACAAGCATTGTTTAATGTCCGTATGCCATTTCATCACTATCAGTGTTTATCTGCCAATTTGCCTCCTGGATAAAGGAGGCAGCATTTCTTTTTTTCTTCGTGTTTTAAGAGTCTGGACATTTTAATCCTTTGCATATTAACACCTGGTTCAATTCAATTATGATTTTCTATACGATTAAAATGTGCTAAAATAATAAAATGAGAGTGAGCAGGACAGTCTCATATAAACAAAAATACTACTGAAACAAAGAACTGTCATGACAAGCGTGTTACATTGTGATTTCAAATGTATTTAGGATTTTAAATATCCTCCAGTGGTATCTCATTCTTACCACTCTGCTCTTGCCCGAACCGCCTCACCCCTCACCAGCCTCTTCCTGTCGTCCAGAGGACGGGCCAGAGCTCGCAGCACACGCGCCCGAAACGGCAACACCTGAAACAGCAGAAAATGTTGAAAGTTATGTTGCTTTTTTTTTGCGGTTACCGCATAATGCCTTTAAAAGAGAATGTTATTTGGCACAAGTTACTCCAGCTCATTTGGCTAATCTGTAGTTTTAGAATTTCAGTGGCTCACAATAGTGGAGAATGACACAAGTAAATACTTTTTTTTTTTTTTTTTTTAAAATATAGTAACTGACAAAACAGGTCAAATTTGTTTCAGTTGGTGAGGTAGAGCACTATTTTCTACTATAGCCACATTTTGATATAACACTTTCTAATTGAGTGTGGGCCAAGAGGGGACTACATAAGTTTAAGTACATCTTAAACATGGAGAGTTTTGGAGTTTTACCTCATGTACAGGGAAGCAGGAAACAGCATGGATGCACCGCAGTGAGGCGATCCTTACGTTCTGAAAGAAGCAGACAAAATATTGGTCAGTGCTCCGGATAATAACATGTTGATGCAGTGTCTCACAAAACTGACTACCCTCACATTTTTGTAAATATTTGATTATATCTTTTCATGTGACAACACTGAAGAAATTAAACTGTGCTACAATATAAAGTAGTGAGTGTGCAGCTTGTATAACAGTGTTAATCTGCTGTCCCCTCAAAATAACACGTCACATAGCCATTAATGTCTAAACAGCTGGCAACAAAAATAAATAAGAAACTACACCCCTAAGTGAAAATGTCCATATTTGGCCCAGTATTAAGTGTATTTTCTGTGGCCACCATTATTTTCCAGCACTGACTAAACCCTCTTGGGCATGGAGTATCACAGGTTGCCACTGGAGTCCTCTTCCACCCCTCCATGACGACATCACGAACTGGTGGATGTTTAGGTCTGGAGACATGCTCTGCCAGTCCATCACCTTTACCCTCAGCTCCTTTAGAAAGGCAGAGGTCATCTTGGAGGTGCGTTTGTGGTCGTTATCATGTTGGAATACTGCCCTCCCCTCAATGAACTGTGGCTCCCCAGTACTCATGCAGCCCCAGACCATGACACACCCACCACCATGCTTGACTGTAGGCAAGACACACTTGTCTTTGTACTCCTCGCCTGGTTGCCGCCACACACGCTTGAAACCATGTAAACCAAATGAGTTTATCTTGGTCTCATCAGACCACAGGACATGGTTCTAGTAATCCATGTCCTTAGTCTGCTTGTCTTCAGCAAACTGTTGGTGGGCTTTCTTGTGCATCATCAAGTCTCATTTTTTCAGTGTTGTCACATGAAAAGGTATAATCAAATATTTACACAAATGTGAGGGGACACTTTTGTGAGATACTGTAAGGAGCAGCAACAGTTTGTCCTTTTACGGCTTACAATCATTACATCACTTGACAGAAGGATCTGTGCAGAAAACACACTCGGGTGTGATCTCTCACTAACCATGACTGGACTAGAGGTGAGGGCCAGCAGCCTGCTGACCAAAGCCTCTAGCTGCTGTATGAGCGCTGGTGGTGGGTCGACGAGGACGGGCTCCAGACAGGACAGGGTGGAGAGCTGGACGCACCGGTCAGGACATGACAAGGCCTCCAACAGCAGAGACAGGAGCTGGACGGGGGACAAAAACCATCACGTTAACCATTTTCTGGAGTTTCTAAATGTTGTGGCACACCTCCTCTGGTTACAGTAGTTTTAGTTCCATTTGAAAATTAACTTGCAGTTGACGTTTGCTCTTAACTCACCGCTGGTAATTCAGTGACTTGAACCTGCTTGGGCAGTTTGTTGACTATGTTAGACAGAGCTTTCAGGTAGTTGGCCTTCTTCTCTGTGGGGGGAGACAGATAGCATGAGAATCAACTGCTCACATGAGAGACCTCCATCACATGGAAATTATATTTTGCACATTATACACACAGTGGCTTTAACTGAATGAAGTTTATTTCCAATGACAAATCTTCTCCGCAGTGCTGCTGTACCTTGCGGCGCAGCGTTGAAGCCCTGGACCAACTTGGCTGAATTCTCGCTGAAGAAGCGCTGGCGGTACATGATGCGAACGTCAGCGTGGCAGCCGCGGTTCAGGACGTCTGTAGAGTCACTCATCAGCAGCGAGAAGCCGTCCGCTGCCATTGGACCCAGATCAGCATCATCCAGCAGAGAAAAGAGCTTCAAAAACACACAGTCTAAGATCATAAAAAAGCAAAAGCGCAGATTCTAAACTGTATCTAATAAAGCTTTTACTACAGTTGCACGTGTGAGTGTCTCTCTTTTTACCTTATCAGTCAGTGCTGTGGACAGAGGGTGGTATCTGAGAAGCAGAGCCTTGGCCACCTGGAGGCAACAGCAGCTTTATTGCACTTGTGACTTGTGACTAAGTGAATTAAAATTAAACATTTGTGCAACATCACATATCAATTAAAGTCTAAAAACAGTGACTCTTACCCAGATCATGAGGGTAAAAGCCTGAGTGCGTGTAGATGAAGACGCAGAGTCCAACTCACTCCACACTCTCTTTATCGTCCTCTGAATGAAGTTGTCGAGAGAATCACCTGAAGAAGAAACCGAATGAACACAGATGCTTTTAGTTGACAGTGTGAGGCTCTCAGTCTTGGACACCTGACAGGAGAGTAAAGACACAAACTGACCCTGTGCTCTCTTATTGAGCAGGCCAGCAAAGCACTTTGCAGCCGAGGTGTATGACAGCGGGTGGCTGCAGGTGCAGCTCATCTCCTCCAGCTGTGACAGCAGAGTATCCATCTTTGGCACCTCCACCTAGATGACATACACAGCACTCACAATGCAACTTCAGTAACAGAAACCACTGTTTGTTTTTTAAAGATTTTAAGTGAAAGCTGAAGTGTTCAAGTTGAGACTCACACTGCGAGGTAACGCACACACACATCCCATAAGCAGACAAACCATCTGGCTCCACGAGTCCCCCTGCTGCTTCTGGGAAAACAATGCATGCCTCAATAACAACACTTTTCAAGAAACTGTGACATTAAAAGTGCTCCAAATCCAAAAGGTAATCAACCTCAAACTTAGGGCCAGAAAATATAAATGATATGGAGGTATACAGATAATAAATCTGCATTCAATGACTGAATAGTATTTCTTTTTTTACACAGTGAGGCAATGAAAAATTTTATAGTTTTAACCAAATATGAAGAGGCAATATTTGAATAAAACCCCCAGGATAACAGTTTAACTGCATTCACTCCATGCACATACAAACCTTGAGCAGCTGGATCTGCGAAGGGAAGGAGTTGTCGGGCAAAAAGGAAACATCACCTTCCAGGAAGAGAGATACAGCCCTCGATGCAGTCTGCCCCGCCAGCCTGACAACATTAAACACCCCGAAGGGAAACCACACAAACCTCAGGAAAAATGCTCTGATGGTTCTTAAAAAAAAACATATCAGAGACTGACAAAAAAAAAGGTGAGAGACAGGAACTAGTAACATACTTTTTTTCCCCCTTTTAGATCTGCAGGTGTGAAAAGGCAAAAGCAACTAGTTCCCTCATCAATACAGTGCTTCAGCTATAGAAACAGCTGTTTTATGATCTCAAACTGGGTTTTGAAAAGCAACTGTTCCAATAATGTTCTCTTCAACAAATTTGACAACTTAATAATTTCACCTGCCACTGCTGCGTAAGTCTCATCGTGGCATTGTGGTTTTCAGAACAGGAATGAAGAGATTTAGGCAAAGACGCATGTTACCGAGTTGAAAAGCGCTCACAGAAAACAAAACTAAGTGATCAAAACGAAAAATAATTGAGAGAGTTTGTACTGACGTGGGCTGTAGCCTGGAGCAGGAAGTACTGATGACAGGGACCATGGCAGACAGGACCACCTCCTCCAGAAGAGGACTACGACGGCCAGATGACCCCTCACCTAAAAAAAAAACAACACACGAACAGGAAGTACAAAATGTTTAAATGTCAGCTAAAATATTTCACCTTTTCTATTTTCATGTTTTAGAAGAGTGGAAGGTAGCAGTTATTTGGTGAGACCAGAGTGTAGGGTTAGAAGGAGATGAACTGCTCACCCTGCAGTGCTGCCTGCAGCGCCAGGGACAGCAGGCGCGGGATGACGACGTCGTGGAAGCATCGGCCCGTCTCCTCGGTGTCCTGGACCTGCTCTGCTATTCTCTGGAGGCTGCGGCACGCAAACACCACCTCCTCTACTGAGAAACCAACACTACCTGAAAAACAAGAAATTACATTGCCATTCATCTGAAACTTTTGCTGCTTCTTCATTTATTTGGCCTGTAGGCTACATGTGAGACACAACAACATACTTCACTGCATAAATATGGACATATCGTGACGGCTTCAAGACAACTTGGGAGAAAACGTTCAAATCTTAAAACTAAATAAGCAAATGTCTTAACAGTCGTAGATAAACTGTGATCCTGATGTTGTCTCATCTATAAAAATAGTTTCATTTTTGACTTGAAGTCATAAACAACAATCTGTCCTGACAGATTACCTGTGTGCGCTGAGCTGAGGACCTCCAGGAGGACAGGTGTGCTCTCCTTGACAACACTGGGCTGAATGGACACCGCAGCCAGAGAAGACAAACACCGCCGTCGCACTGCATGATGGGAATGCTGCTCAGTAACTACTTTGTTGTTGTCTTGATCCATGGGCTCTGAGCAGAGAAAGGAAAAGGTTTTTAATGCATATTCATGGAGGGCTCGTCTGCTGATCTAATGTTAACATTACTGGGGGGTGTTTGTTTATATTGTATGGTTCAATGTTTGTAAACGTTTGAAGTTAATTTGTAGGAGTTTCTTTTCCCTTCAAAATTAAAGTAACATTTCTGTTGAACGGTGTCAAAAAATAGTCAAAGGTAAAGAATTAAAACAAGGAAAAGTCCAGTGGGGTCTACTTTTTATAAGCATTGTATGATACAAATATTGCCATCTGTATAGTGTTTTCACATATTCCATTATACTGCAGGTCGTATTTTTGGTGTGTGCTTTTTCACTTACCAGAAAACATCTCCTGCTTTAGTCTTGGGATCAGTTTAGTGATAAAGGCTGCTGGGTGCAGCTCTGCTAAGGTTCCGACGCAATTAACCACAGCTCCACTGGAGGCACAAACACAGAGTTATGTTTAGTTCAACTGCAAAACAAAATCCAAACTGTTCTACTTTTACTGCTTTAAATTTGGCTCTTAAGTAATAAGTACACAATATTAGTGTATGGTGGTAAAGGTGTAAAAGTGTGTGTTTTAGGAGAATCTATTGACAAAAATTGCACTATAATATCAATAATTATGTTTTCAGTGGCGTATAGACCTTACATAATGAACAGTTATGTTTTTATTACCTTAGATTGAGCCAATTCTATCTACATACACTGCAGGTCCCCTTACATGGACGTCACCATGTAGCGCTGCCATGTTTCTACAGTAGAAACTCCAGAAAATGTCCATGTAGAGTGAACTAGATGTCTGGGTGTTGTTTATATGCTCTATAATGGTAATCCAACACATCTTTGTAGTAGCATCCATGTTGATTCCACATTTCAATTTAAAAGCACATGAACACACACTGAATTTGTAAGAACGGCTTCACAACTTGGGAAATGGGACCATCCGAGGAGCACGTGAATGCACCGTGAGCTAGTGTTGTAGTCAAGACCAAGACTTTTAGGGGCGGACAGCAGTCGAGACCAAGACCAGTTCCCTGCATTGCATGGCACGCAATAAAATCATAGGTACTTCTCAAATTGATCTGAAGGATCTACAGTCCCACTAAAACACCCACATACAAACACTAAGAGCTGAAATCAACGTAAGCATCGCAGGGAGGGGTGACAGTCGTTAATTAGGGTTATTTGCTGCATTTGAAGCAATTTGTTTTACTTCCAATCAAAGTTAGGATATTAACAAATCAGACAATGCAAAAGCAATTTATTGATATTCCCAAAGCTATGGTCTTGAAATAAAATCCAGAGTCCTCAATGTCCGAGGCCGAGACAAGACCGAGTGCAAATGCGGTCGAGACCGAGACGAGACCAAGAACATCAAAAAGTGGTCTTAAGACCAAGACCGGTACTACACCACTAGCGTGAGCCACTGGTTGCAATTCGAGACCGTCACCACTAGATGCCACTAAAACTTACACACTGAACCTTTAAGGGACAAACAGAGAGGAAGCAATACAGGAATCAAAAGGATGATAGAAGGAGAGACAGATGGAAGTACTGACCTGACTCTTTCATCCTCCTCCGTCAGCAGCAGTCTGGTCAGGTGATCTATAGCCAGCTCAATATCAGAGTCCAACAGCAGACCTGAGAGAGACAGCACACTTGTAATATTTGGAAAAGTGCTGAATTTGTGACACAGTCCGACTCTGCTGGGAGTTTATTGCATCTCACCTGCTTGTTGTGCAAGTGAGGTGAGCACAGAGGCAGCTGTAATCTGCAGACTGGAGTTATTCTCTGTCAGAGCTGAAAACGTCATGCTGCACAGAGACGGGCGGAAGGCTAAAAACACACTCTCTTCTAATGTGGCGGGATGAAACACAGAAAGAAACAGACCACTTTATGACAAACTATCACAGTATAAAAATATTCAAACACACATTGTGACGTCATGACTTAATGTCAAGAAACATTAAACTACAGCTTTGGTCTGTGGTACGTGGTACCAGCCTTGACATGTAACAGATGAGCTACAAAAAGTTTTAGATATACAGATTTTAACAGGGTCCACCACTAAAAAAAACATGCACTTTAAAATCTGAAACAAATATATAAAACAAACTAACTCAAACATATTTCTTGGTGCTAAAGTGGAGCAAAACGCAGCTGTAAGAAAAAGATGTCACTAATGAGTGGTCTGGAGTGAATATGGAGCTCTGAAGCAGTAAACACTACTTGCCGTTGTCTGAAGACTGGATTTTTACCGACTGGACAAATCTCTGCACCACCTCCAGTAATGTACGCCTGTGGGAACACTGCACAAGACCAGTCATGGTTATGAAAAGATTACTTATAACATCACACACAATATCAACATTCTAACTGCCGATAACAGCACATATTTCATAAATACAGGAACAAAACAAACATACAGTCTAGATGTTACAATACAACAGCAGTACAAGTAAAAGCACCACTCTCACATCACCATATAGCCATCAAACATGTTCACATTAAACTAAACAAACATCTGGGTGTCCGTTTCCCTTATTCACCTGTGTCCTGCTGTTGTACTGCTCAATGAGGGAGGGCATGACAGCGGCTGTGATGATGTGGCTCGCCCTGTTGGAGGCTCTGCAGGCGGCCTGTAGCATCTTGGCACTGGGCCACACGAGCTTCAGGTCTGGCTCACACAGGTGATGTTTGCAGTCTGGAACAACATCACACTTTGAGTATAAAAAAACAAAACCCAAAGCCCACAGGACATGTTTCGCAGTGTTGAGGCTGTTGTGTGACTTTTATTAAAGATGAGATTCAACAAACAGTAGAGAGTTTCCCTGCCATGAAGAGCACAAAAATACTCTGGTTCCTGAGTTTAAGTGTTAAACTCTGTTTCACTTTCTAAAAAGATGAACGTGTACTGAATTCCTGTGAATATTTTTTGGTTCTGATCAAATTCTTCACAAACTGTTACACATAGGTTAAAGTTTCAACCTTTTCTGTCTAAAATATTGATACTGATATTGTCTGTTATAAGAGTTTCTTCTCAAGAATTATATATTTTATATTAAAAGGTACTTAACATAAAACTCTATAAATCTGTGATATTGGTTGATGAGTTTCCCTAAATCAAATCATCCTCTGAGGGGAAACACACTGTTAGCATGACATGTTAACTGTCCAAGCTGTTGTTTAAAATAATGTAACTGAACAGTGGTATGCTGCAGTGAACCTTCCCACTACCGCAGCTCTGACATATTTAGTTCAACAATTTTTACATCTACACACCCTCTCTTACCACCTTACGGTCACTGTGTGGCTGACTTCTGTACATAGTTCACATGTATTTGTCTTATGATGCTGTCCGCTTTTGTCTTTCTTGACATGTTGTGTATACTGGAGTTTATACAACCTTCCAATAAAATGTGCATCGATTTCCAACGTGCATATAAGCTGGATTTCACAACATTTCACCTTTAAGGACGAGATCCAGGAAGGTGCAGAGGGAGTCTTCAGAGTCAGAGTTGAGGACCGAGCGAGACAGACAGGAAGTGAGTGCGGTGAGAGCAGCGAGGCCTGCAGACTCAATCTTCTCACTTGATGTCTGAAACACCTGCAATGAAAGAGTTTTTTCAGTTTCACAAACAGGTAATTACATTGACAGTGTGTTTACTTTATTTTGAAGCCCATCTTTAATAGATTTTTTTAAACAATAAAATCTGTTTCCGGTGCCTGGAGTATCAGGAAATCGTCTCTTCTCTTGTTAAGAACACAAAAATTCACTTTATTTTTCTTGGCTTTCCAAGCATGACAGCTTGTTCTCATCTTCCCATAAAGATTTTTGTTTTGAGTCTTTTCCTTTAGATGCTCTCAATCACATTCTCACATCTGAAGGACCATCCATCTGATTTACTGTTGGAAGAGGGAGACTCACATTTTCACATTAGAGCCATAACTTGGGAGCTCAAACAGCATTCTTTGCAACTGGACAAACAACACAAACTAATAGAATAAACACTGCAGAGTTGGTGGATGTGAACGCAGTCATAAAAGGTGTTTCCTGTTGTTAAGGGTGGAGTAGGTGTAAAAACATTTTTCACTGAGAGAAACCAAATAAGTAGAATGTCATCTCTAAAAAAAAAACCCAAAACAAAACAGTTATGGATATTTAAATATTTCCATACAAAGCGTAGAACACACACACACACACACACACACACACACACACACACACACACAGAATTAATCTCAAACAAACCTCTCTGCGCAGTGATGCCCACAATCCCTCCAAGAATTCTGCCAAGTCCTTATGTTCATATTGTGATACACAAACAGTCTGCAAAATATAAAGTGTGGGGAGATTTAAAAAAAAACAAAAACAACAAAACAGGTGCAGCTTTTCCAGCAACACCCTGCATCACCTTCACAAGTTAAACATAAACACCACCCCTGCTCTGGGCGTCTCAGCAGTTATAATGAGTGTTGTTTAAAGAGAATATCAACTGTATATCATCCACATTTAGACTTCCTGCAGCTGGGAATATGAGCTGGCACAGTACCAGTCAAATGTTTAAATACCAAACCGAACAGACTACAATATGATAGTAGAGATTTCTCACCAGAGTCTGCAGCGAGTCCAGCTTCGCACTCTGAACATCTGAGTCCAGCTTCTCAATGATGAGAGGTAACAGAAACTGTAATAAAACAGAAAATATACTGCCTTTAGGTCCTCAAACAAAAATGATGTCATCCAATTCACAAAGATCTTCATTGCACCCAAAAGGTAACCGTAGATGTCCTAATGGTCCTACCTCAGCGAATCGTGGCGTCCCAGTGAGGACGTCCCTCAGTGTCTGGATGAGTTCCTCTCTTGTGATGCCGTGGGGGTCATTGGAAGGCTGGGGTGGGTAGATGGGAGATGTGGGTGAGGCAAGAACAGATTGACAGGGTTTTAAAACACACAAAAATCATAAATGGATCAACACATGTTCAAGCTGATCACCAACAAGAGGCTCTGCAGTTGCAGAAGGTTTATAAGTATAATACTGTGATATACAATCCAGACAGTTTTCTGTCTGTTAATAATTAGTCACCACTGGTAATGTCAACCATTGTGTCAAAGATCTACAAGGTATTTGAAGAGCTTGTTTCGTTATCATTATCATCGTCATCTGGTAAGACAATGTTGAGCTCCTTATGTCACCAAAAAAACAAAAACAACAACTGAAAATCATATTAGCAACATTGCACCAATGGGCTGGTTTTCTCCAGAGTCAACAAACGAAAACACAGCTGTGATCCCCTGTGACGTAGAGATGGGGAATGAGCAGATGATGGGGCCAGATGCTGTATTATTGTTTTCTACAGCGTTCCCCTGAGGTCTCAGGAAGTCTATGATGACATGTCTGTCTGCCTTCGTCACTCCTCTGGCAAAAGCAGCTGAGTAAACAAGGACTTACGGGGGTGAAGTCGATGGGGAAATAGCAGGAGGTCACTTCGAACAGTTCCTCTGTGAATTTACCTGAGAGAGCAGACAGGAAATGAACGGGAGACAAAACAGAGTCATGCTGTGTAATGGACAGAAAAAACGGTCACAGAGAGAAAGAAATACAGAGAAAACAACAGCGAGGAAGATGCTGTGTGCACATGCAGGCGCCCTCACCTAGATCATAACCTCGGTGGACGATGTTACTGGCGACCTGGAAGGCTAACAGGAGGTTGCGAGGATCCCGCTCTCCGTCCATTGATTGGACAAAACCAAACACAAAGTCTGCCCCCAAACCCTTCAGTTCTGTGTGAGAGTCAAACAGGAATACATGGTCTTGTTCATGTGCTGTTAGACGGCTGACAGACACATTATGTTTGGAGAGAATTTGAGGAAGTTGTTAGATGTAGAAGACTGCTTAATCTAATCTAGCCTGACTACAAAGAATTCATTTTGTTATATGAAATTGAAGGGGAAAAAAACAAGTAAATTTATGACTATAAACGGTGCTATAATTACGTTAACTTATACTACAGTTTAAAATGAAGACACAGCGGTGAGTGGTGACACTGTGTCATCCTGCAATGCATGATGGTGTGTTCATAACAACTAACACACACAAGCCTGCATCTGATACAGTATGTCTTTGCAAAACATGTAAATGATTCAACTGCTAAACAAAGCAGAAGAAGGCATGACAACTCTGTCCCTTATTACAGGGCTGGAAAGAGTTTAAGGGGGGGGGTAACAACCACAGGGATTAGTCAGCTAACTGCTGACATTTCTGACTTTCAAAAGTCTGCTGTTTTGAATCATCAACTTCTTCGACACAGACCCTTTTCTTTTTTCTTCTTCCAGCAGAGCTCTCAATTATTGTGGGGAACGGTTAGTGCCTTCCTCTATTCACCGAGCTACTGTGAGTCAGACTCAAACCAGCACTTACCGGCTTCTCTGGTCTCCATGAGGTTGATGAGCATGTTGTATACGCAGGCTCTCTCTGCCAGCATCAAAGACTGGAAAAAAAACAAACAGACCCTGTGAGCTTCTTTTTTTTTTTATCCACAATGCCCAGATTTAACAACAATTTGGGTACTTAAGACAAATTATAAAGAGCAAGAACAAAGATCATCACATACTCTGAGAAGTGTGGTCAAATGTTGCATGGGTGTTTGCGCATATATCAGGATTTAAGAGACAGATGCAGGTCAGTGACTGACACACTGCTGTTGTGTATTTTAACATCTGGCCAAGGGCAGCACATGAATATTAGACTTTTTGCCCGCGTTGATCAGTTGTCTTTGTTGCTCACAAATAAACAACATAATGCTATTGAGTGCAATGACATACCTGTTAAATTGAACTCAAATCTAATGTTGTATTCATCCCTCAAAGTAAATGCTCAGGGGTCATCTTCCCCAGATATATGTTCAGATAAAATCTTGCGTGCCATAACTTCAAAATCTTTATTATAACACGGTGTGGAGTCTCACCTGAACATGAACATCCTGGAACAGAGACCTCAGCATGGACACAGCTGAGCCAGGAGGCAACGCTGTACATTTCGTCTGGAAAGAAAGAACAAACACACACAATGTGCACGTCGGTCGCAGCTGGAACTTCTTATAATGATTCTCAAACCTGCCAAGCAGACACCAACTCGCAAACCTAGCAGTCAGGTAATCTTATGAAGGACGTTTTGGATGTTTTTGTCACTGAAAATCGATCACGGACAGCCACTCACCAGCGCTCTGAGCCCCCGTAAAACAGGCGGTGTGATGACGTAATGGTCCTTCAGACGGTTTTCATAGAAGGCAATGAGCACTTCCACTGTGGGGAAGAGAGACAGGAAGATCAAATATCCCTCTTGACATGAATATGTTGCATTTAGCCCTGCAAGACTACTGCAAATCAAACTGCAGTTACGGAGATACATATTTAATTTGTTTGTTCTTCAATATATGTTGGTTTTATCAGCCAACTGAATGTCATCCTTCTTTCCCCCACGTCCATTTACCAGAAGGAATGATACGTTTAGCACCCAAATACAAAGTCAGAATTTACGATATCTAGAAAACAAACTAAGAGTACAAAATATAAGAGAAGATGTGCACCTTCTCTCTCTGTAAGATCTCCATAGCACTCCTGTAAAACTTCAGAGAGAAGCTGGACTCCTCTGGCTCGTGTGTGAGGCTGAGAGCTGGTCAGGCTTAGTCTTCAAGGGGGAGGAAATTAAAATGTTAAATATTATTTAATTTAAGAGCAATTCTAACTGAGATGAATTGAAGCATTTTAATGAATAAAAGACAGTAATATAGTGTAGATATACTTAAAATATATGGTTAATTATGTATCATTCATGAGAAAGACCTCATATCTGCTTGGCTGGGTGATACTGGCAAAATTAAACATCTTAATGCTTTTGAAAAAAAGTATATCCTCTTAACTTCCACCACCTCCCTTGAGTATAAAAATGTATTATAGTATAGTAATGCTTTTGTTTTGTCCATGTTGTTGCTGAGCTCACCCCAGTGCTTCCACCAGCTGCAGTATTGTAAACTGTCCATCTTTAACACCTGGACAGAAAGCCAAGTTTAGTGAACTGTTACAAAGCAAACAAACTACAAACACACACACAGAAAACAGACAAAACAACACATGTGCGTAACTTAGTTATCTCTAGTTGTTAGTAGTTAGTTACAGATTAACTAGCAGCATCGGCGGGGTTCAAAGGTGCAGAGTTCATTGACAAGATGCTCTTTTCATTGGGATACAAATACAGAAGCTAGCGAGCGGCATGCGGGGTGGAAGGAGTAGCACCAAATCGCACATTACTAGTCGAATGACAGCGCAAAAAAATGCTAGATTCAATGTGTGCTGCTGATAAAATGAGCAGACCAGTGTCACAACGTGTGTGTGTGTGTGTGTTTGTATCATGGGATTGTGTTGTAACACCACACAGGATGTTGTGGCGCTAAGTTAGCTAGTTAACCATCATGCCGTGCTGCGCATCCTTGAAGCGGCAACTCAGCAGACACAACAAAGGGAGTTTTTTCTCAACAAGATATTCTGGAAAGGTGTCGAGGAAAACATTATCAACACTTGTTTACCTGTTGCTGTATCTTTGGCCTTGCTGTCCTGCAGTCCTGAGACGTACTCCTCCACCAGAGACACCAGCAAGGCACTGTCCGCAGCCATCGTGCCTTCACCTGAGACCACGCATGCGCGGAAAGTTACGGGGGAAAGTGACAGATTTTATATAATCATTAATAAATTAGGTGTTTTAACGGACAAAGTCATGCTAAATTGCTAAAGTGGCGTCATGTGGGTCAACTGCATGTTGCTTGAAATGTAAACTTTGCTGTTGTTGAAATAAAATTTAGTTTTTGGGTGTTGCCTTCAGGTGCTGTCCGAATTCCAATACACTACACTCCTGGAAAAACTGGCGCTCTATGTGATATTCCTGAAGTACATCGTCTCCCCTTTCACTGAGGTGCTTACGTGCTGTTAAACAAATGAATTACTACCAGCATCATTAACAATTATATACTGAAAACACGAAACATAGACGCTGTACACAACAGCTATGCGATACCTCCGTCGGTGTCGAATTTATTTAGTCTCGTCAATTTAATGTCTTTTCGTCCTGACGTAAGGGAACCCAACACCTGCCTGCGTGCTGACGCGCAGGCGTAAAAAAGTTCGGTGGCGCTAGCTCCGCCGCTAGTCACCTACAAGCACAGAGGGAAGTAACGTTGGGGGATTTAAAGAAAAAATCTGGACACAACGTCAAGGACTTGAAGTGGTACGCCGAAGGCTGCGGGGAACTGTAACTATCCACTACGTTTGGAAGAAACTCAGCGTGCAGGGAAAAGATCACGAGTGCGCGGAAGTTTACTGATGTTTAGTTAACGTTAGCTAACTTAGCTGGTTGGCCCTGTTAGCTTATTAGCGAGGAAGGTGCGCTCTGTTTGGACAGCTGGGCATCAACATTTACAACTAGTCCAACTGCACGGGCGAGTTAGTTAACTGACACGCTGCTAGTTATAATCTAGCGTTTAAAACAGAGTTTGGCGAGTGTTGCGGTTTGGCTATCAAACTCTTGTAACGGTAGTGCGGGCCACGAGCTTTGAATCTTGTGGGGTCGTCTCAAACACAAACAGCAGTTAACGTTACATATAAAGAGAGAAAACGAACATTCAGCCACTATCTCACAGATCTAGATCAGCTCAGCGCTACCAAACATCCACAGCCCCCTGTGTGCCGCTACGGATGACCTATCAGGTCTGCCAGGCTCGCAACGTTGGACCTGCGACGCGTCCCAGCTCATTGTCTTCGTCAGTGATGCCCCCCCTGATCAGCTAGTGAGACGCGTGGAAACAATCCGCAGCCCTCTAACCATGGGAGGATGTGTGGGGAGATACTGGGAAGGCTGGGAGGACACACAGAGCCGAGGCTCGTCCAGGAACGGTGGACGAGGAGGTACGACTACAGTTTGTGTGTGTGTATGTGTGTGAGGTGCTTCACTAAATCATAACTATTTAAAAACTTCTTGTGACACCATCACTTATACCTTATGCTGAAGTACTCTTATCCTAAACGATGGCGTTGCAAACCCATGTTGGTTTTTGGCATCTTTTGCCGGTTCAGTTAACCCCTGCTGTGACAAATGATGGCATCTGACACTTATCCAGCTCTGCGTAATTGCATGTATATTAAGTATACACATTAAAGTGCACAAATCAACACTAAATGTGGTTGACACTCACTGTATACAGGCTTTTTTCACGCCTGCATCAGAGTCAAATGCATCTCATGTGACCACTTGTGATTGAGTTTCACCTCCCTGCTCACATTTGTTTTTCCGTGGGGGAAACTACTCCTGCTAATCCAAGGGCTTTTCTGTACAGCACTAGTGCGTGATTTTTTCCCCCCATGTTCTGGGATTCATTTGCGTTCACAATGCATGACATGTCTTCTATGCATACAACTGCAAATGGGCACCAGGGCCCATGTTTATACAAAGGTTTTGCTCATGTGGGTCAGTTGGATAGAGATCATATGATACAGTCACAAATGCTGACAGCAAACAAGAACAAGTACTTTGACAGGTACCAGTTTGCATTGTAGGATTTTGGACAGGGAGTCAGATTTCTGTCTGATTGCTGAACACATTCTTAGTTCGTGTAAATGCAGTGCAGTCACTGAATGCTGTGTGGATTGCAGAGCCAGAGGCTGCTTTTTCTTGCTACTTTTCCCCCAATTACTGCTTTAAGAATGTGGTGGAACTCCCCTGTACTGTTTAAAGTTGAGCACCTAGGCAAACTCTGCTATCCCAGACCCGCTCTCAACACCGCCAAATCTACCTCCAAATTCACCTACTCCACGCCTACATTTGCCTGACACTGCATCTATAACGACGCCGGCAATTTTCTCACCCATCAATTTCAGGCCTCAAACTTAATCCCACAGTGTTGTGCTTGTTGGGCGAACTACTATTTTACAAGTGGACTGTATGGTAACCCCACCGACGCTGTATCATACTGCAGTTTTAATGTGGAGTCAGTGAGCAAGCAGGAGGGTGTGGTTACTGTAAATGGCAACACTGAAGCGGAGGTTACATTGATTCCCGAAGTTGCTGATATGCAGAGTATTCACATCAGGGACTTGAGTTCATGTCCATTAGTTACTTACCTTCCCGGAAGATAACATTCTTCTAAAGATAAACACCGGCCATCTGCCACGTTTTGTTCTTTTACCCTCGTCTTTGATAGTGACGGATAGAATTTGGATCGCTGCTTCAGCACTCAACAAGGGTAAATGTAATATTTACAACCAGTCCAAACTGGATGACGCACAGCTGAACTGGCAGACGTTCTGTACTTCTGCATTGTTTCGACCCCAGACAACAATGTCAATGATATTTACTGTGGCCTTTTTATAATTCACGGCGTGACATGTGAAAGTGGTTACCGTTTATTGGATGATTAGAGGCTTTACAGAGCTGCAGCTTTTATGAATGTTGTTATAAACTCACTTAGGGTGGAAAACGACCTTTAGGCCTTCTCTGCGATGTGGCTAAAGTCTCTGCTGAGGTCAATAACTTAACGTTTCCTAAACACTCTGGCAGTGAAATGAATTCGGTTCAGCTCACTGCGTTACTGTCACATTCAGCATATCCAGAGCAGTGAAGTTCCCCTTGTAGTGACTGTTTAGGTAGTGTCTGTTATTCATTTGGATGCAGGTTCTGTCTCTCTCGTTTCCTTCCAACTTTACTGATGGAAAGTTTTTCAGGCTTTTTTTTTTTTTTCCAGCAGGAACGGTCTCCAGTTTACATCAGAAAGACTGTTCCAGCTTTGTGCGTTCGTAGGGAATTTAAAGTTCTCGACCCCTGGCCACCTGGCTGTATTCCAAAATGAACATCTGATATACATTTTCAAAGCAGAATATGACCTTCAGAATAATTTATCTTTCTTTGTTACCTGCCAAAGTGGCCAATGGATTAGGCTATTTAAAGTTTAAGCGACCAAGAGTCCCCGGGGTTTTGGAGGTGGCTCATGGTAATTTCCCACCCTGATTAGTTTCAACAGACACTCCCTGCTAGACCAGGCTTCGATCAAAAAGAACAAGTCACATCATGTCCTGCTGCGTCACTGACTGGCGTCTTTAACGGGACTGAATCCACTCTGCTCGACACACCCTCATACCGAAAGATGTCCATGTGAGAGGAAGAGGTCAAATACAATAAAAGACTCATTTTATCTCTCCATTTCTCACAATATAGGATAACTGATTTTAGTTGTAATTTATAGGTTTTTAACTTCTGCATCACGTCCCCTGAAGGATAAAAAGCCACATCTGCATCCCCGAGGCTGCAAAATACCTGCAAAGAGAAAATAAATGGCTGTGCATTCTTTTGGTTTCCTCTTTTGCTGCTTTGTAACTTTACATGATAGCATCTTTAAATCTTTAAGCAATTTTGCCTTTTTAATTGGCAGTTGACAGTGGAGAGCAACAGGAAACATGTGGCAGTAGATAAACAGAAAGGTCGTTGGCTGGATCCAAACCCAGGGCGGTGGTGTGACCTGGAAGAGACCTTAAAATGCTGGGCCACCAAGATGCTAGACATAACATCATTTTAAAGCGTTTATAGAGCTCCAACTATTATTCGATTAATCAATTAGTCATTTGACTGTGGACGAATTGGCAACAATTTTGATAATCGGATACCTTATTTTGTTGTTGAGAAAAATGGCAAAAATTCACTGGTTCCAGCTTCTGAAATGTGAATATGTTCTATTTTTCTTAGTCTTCTATGATAGTAAACATAATATCTTTACATTTTTGGTCTGACAAAACAAGACATTTGAAGACATTTCGGATGGACGGTATTCACTGTTGCAAATGCAAGTACAAAGTTGTTTAGTTGTCATTAGACAACACAAGCTTGTATAAAGAAACCAACGTTTGTAGTCCCTTCATGCTACACACAGAACTTAACAGAAAATTAAATGTGTCATAAAATATGGTAACAATTAAATTAAACAATAGGCTATATACAGTTATTTATACAAAGGCTATACTGTACACGTGTGTACACCAGAACATTATGCAGTGTATGTTTTGAATTTGCATCTGGGGTAAATGTAAACTGTCCGCCTCGTCTCACCTTGCCGGGATGTTGATGGCGCAGGTCTCTGTAAAGATGTGGGCACCAGTCACTGATTTCTGTTGCTTGGGCAACATGAGTCCCGTTTTTTCCAGACCAAACCGAACATAGTTTTGGCAATGAAGCTGGAAATAACAGATGTAGATTAATCAATAATAAAATGAGTTGTTAAGTGCAGTCCTGTGTACAATTTTATTCTATTGAGTAAAATTTTACTGCTAGGTTTTCTAGCTTGCATTGTAACATTATTCAGCAAAAAGCAGGCAAAACATTTATTTTAGGTCGTGTTGACCCCCGGAATAGATTTGCCTTATCTCAAAGCATAGTTTGAGATGTTCTGTAGAAATGAACATTGAAGTAATTAAAGCTAAAGTAAGATGAAGTAGAGGTGAGTCTATCAGCTCCACAGGGAAACAAGAGATCTACCAATCCCTCACAGAGTCAGTGATTAAAAAGGTATGTGTGTGCTGAAATATTTTGTGCAGGCTTGTCAGCATTTGCTCCAGGTGTGGTGAGAATGTTTTCAAAAGTAGCATTTATGGATGCTGCACTTTGTCACAGAACGAAGGCTGACTTTATCTGTAGCTGCAGAGAGCTGATTGCATCGCTGTGGTGATAACCAGCTATAAGGACGAGGTGTGTGTGTGACTGCATGTTGGGAGTAAATGTATCATGAGGAAATACAGTCACACATGCACTCAGTCTGTGTCCGGTTAAAGACCGCACTTCCCTTCCCTCCACTGTTCCTCTGCTCCAGCGCATTGTTCACTGATGTCTGCTTTTAGATGGGAACACCAAAAACAGCCCCCCCTCCCCCCACGTTTCTTATTTGACTCATGTCAGGGGAATGTGAGAGGCTGTTAAATATCTTTACAGGGCCAAAGCAGAAGCATGTGTTTTAGCTGAACGCGCTTTTCCCAGAAGCAGGTAATCCTTTAACAGCCACCTATGGCTGCTGGGTGTGTTGTTTTGTTTGTGTCCTGACGTACAGTGCGGAGTAGCAGATTGAGACATTTCAGTGTCACCCGTAAATACAACGCGCTTCACTATAGCATCATCACGTGGCACTTGATTTTATGAGCCCAGCTGGAGGAAAACACCCTGATATTGCTTCATGTGTCTGCAATGCGTTGCTTCACGTCTCTTGTTTGTGTGCTTCAGTTAGAATCACTTCCTTTTGTTACTCCCAGCTTTTTTCGTGCACATAGTCCCCCAGACCACACTTATTTCCATAAAACCTTTTTTTTTTTAAATTAGATTTCTGCCACTTCGCAGGCCTCCTACGGAAAGAAAGGGAAAGCCCCTCTTATTTGTATTGCTTGTCTCCATTTCCTCAGCTCACCCCCATCTTCTGATGATTTTTGTCAGACTTCAAAATCCTTTAGCTGTCGAGTGTGTCAGCTCCTCAGAAAATATTCTCCGTAGATGTCGTATTGACTCAGTGTGTCACTAAGAGATGAGCAGTCAGAGTTCTCAGTCCTCAGCCCTCTTCTTAGGAAGGAGTTATTAGTCGCCTGAGCTGCAATCACAGGACAGCTCACAAGTACAATGCTGTGACGTTATTTTACCAACTTTAATGATACAGTGATTCTAAAATGTCATCCATTTTTTCTCATCACATAATGGTATGTGCAAGTTAATGAGAGGAAGAAAAATGTGCTTCGTCATGTTGTGTAGATGAAACCATGTGCACCAAACTGCATGTAATCTGAACCTTGTTTATACATACACAGCAAAGTGCACCATTATTCAAAGGAATAGTTTTACACTTTGGGAATTTCTCTTACTCCCATTTCTTGCTGTGGGTTGGATTAGAAGATTGACACCACCTGTCTGCAGGGTAAATGTGAAGCTACAACCAATAGCCGGTTTGCTTAGCTTAGCATAAAGACAGGGAACAGGGCGGAAGCTGCTCTCCTCTGATCTAGCTGCAATAAGTTAATATCAGCTGATAGATCGCTACCTGTTTTTACAGGGGGGGATTGTGTGCGGGGTTATTGTTGATTGGACTCCAGGAAGTCACTTAATCTCAAATGGCCATAAACTGAAAGCAGGCTGAAGTGTTCAGAGTTGAGACATCTGCAATAAAAGACCTCCCATCTGCCTCTGTTGCAACAGAACGTGTCGCAGTACAAGTGCTTTGTAGATGTGTATATTCCAAGAGACTGCACACACCGATACAAATGAAGAGCATTTCTACAAATAGCTTGTAATTTGCCCCTCCCACCCACACACTGCCCTCCTCCTAGTAAACAGGAAGTATCATTTTGCCACTAAGTCAGTGAGTTTGCGGTGTGCTACATCTTGAGCCCTGTTTGTTTGTTTTTTGTATATTTACATTTTGGCAAATTTGCACTGTTTGAAAAGTTAAAGTATGCAGCATGAGCTATTAGCAATTCATGTTTGCAATGTACCCACTGGTGTACTCACAACTAATACTGGATTAAGTTTAGAGCTGATGATGATGATTAGTCAATGAATCTATTAGTTGGTTAGCAGAAAATGAACCCGCAACCATTTTGAAAATCAGTAAATTATTTTAAGTCAACTTTCAACCCAAATGCCCAACATCAATTGGCTGCAGCTTCTAAAATAAATCTGAAATTTCTGAATCTCTGAATTTTGGACTTCTGGTTGCAGGGGAAAAAGAGATTTCCTTATGTCACCTCGGATGCTGTGTGGACATTTTTCACTATTTTAGTTTTACAGTCTAAACTATTTATCCATTAATCAAGAAAATAAGATGAATCAGTAATGGAAATAATTGGTAGTTGTAGCGTTAATTACCTTGATATTGACAAAGACCTGATGAGAATCTACATTTTTAAGTTCTGGAGTTACAGGTTGCATGTTTTTTCTCTCTCTATGATTTCCAATCGATAAATGGACCTTGAAGTCCTAGGAAAGTCACACTGAATCCCCTGGGGAGGTGCGCCACACAATTTGAAAACCTCTGATATAGTTTGTGTGTTTTGGCCCTGGAAACTTTAATAGCGTGTATGTATCACCACCTCGCCTGTATAGTATGTGTAACTACATTTGAATGTGTGTCTAATGTTGCAATTTATGAACCACATTAGGATGCTTTAAGCCCCATCTGTCTCCATGTCCACTACTACTTTGGCTGAGTGGTTGTGAGGAAGCCCCTTTGACTCACTTTGGAATTCACTCCGCTCCAAGTGCTAATCCTACACCACCCCATGTCCTCCAAATTACTCCTCCTAAGACGTCTGCACTATAAATAATTTGTTTGAAAGAAATGCAACCTCTTGGATGTGTGCAGTCTCCTTTTAATACGCCTTCATTTTCTACCCCTCCTCTCCTCAGCGACTGGCATCTCTGCCTCTCGGGAAACATAAGTTTAGCTGGCTTTTGCCTGTTTTTTTTGTTTTTTCTTGACAAGTACCAAAGGTGCTTTTTGACAGCATAAAGTGAAGTGGCTGGCAATTGGCAGCCATTTAAAAAATAAATAAATAAATAAATAAACTACAAACAATCCATTGTTGTCGCACAGGACTTCATCACAGCCCTTTCTGTTAAAGTGCCACCCATGGAGGGAAACATTACAATGGTCACCAGACAATTACTGGTACATTGCGGTGTTTTTGGCAGGTAACAATTGCTTACAGATGTTCTAGTGAATGTTAAGATGTTTAACTGTTGTGAATGGTGGTCAGAAATGTTAGTTCCCTGTCCCGAGGCTAGCTCATTGTCTTTGTGTGTGTGACCCGTAGTCCACTAATATAAGTGCTCTCCTGGCCTAGGTGTGCTGTGTGTTAATATTGAATGGTGGGAAACACGGGTAAGGTTACAAGACAGATAGATATAAGCTACGTATGCTTCATGCATATTGCAAACTCTGAATGACCTCCTAATTTTAGATTCAGATGACACAGTGAGTGGGGGTGGGATGTTCTGTCTCAGGTGACGGCTAGCGTTTCTCTCTGCTGCCAGCTCCCTTTTTATGAGTGTTATTCATTAATCAGTCTGCCTATTCTTTGCATTCAGTGGTGCACATTACACTACAGATTTGTTTAAATCATTGGTGGGACTGAAAAATGCATTCAAAACATTCATCCATAGAATCCACTCCCTCCTTTCCCGATAACTTCTGTGTTATGAGTGTGAAACGCCTGTCTTTAAGTTTAGTACAAACAGCAGATTTTCACTACATGCACCAATCTTCTCTTGCTTCTCCTTCCCATCACAGGGCGTAATGAGCCCCTGAAGAAAGATCGGCCCAAGTGGAAGAGCGACTATCCGATGACAGAGGGCCAGCTGCGGAGCAAGCGGGATGAGTTCTGGGACACGGCGCCGGCCTTCGAGGGCCGTAAGGAGATCTGGGACGCCCTGAAAGCCGCGGCTGTGGCCCTGGAGTGCAATGACCATGAGCTGGCCCAAGCTATAGTGGATGGAGCCAGTATCACACTGCCACATGGTGAAGACAGATACACATAGGATAGATCATGAAATAACATACATCTAGATAAACGTGCTCAGAATAACCCAGCGTAACATCAGTTTTTATATTAGTAGATTTAAATGGCAGCCTCCTCTATTTCCTTCAACACCCCTCTCCAGGTACTCTCGCAGAGTGTTACGACGAACTCGGGAACCGCTACCAGCTGCCCGTCTACTGCCTGGCTCCACCAGTCAACCTCATCTCAGAGCGCAGCGACGAGGACCCCAGCGACAGCCCTGAGCCCACTGTAGCACCTAAGAAGGAATTCCAGCTCAAGGTACTGTGACAAGCATTTCTAATTTTTTGGGGAGTTGAGCGTAACAATGGTAAGTGACTGTAGTAAGTCAATGCATAAGCACTGCCCACATATCCAACAAATGCAAACCATTTGTTGAAATGGTCATTAACATGTTTATTAAAGGTAATTTACCAATTATACTTTAATTTGTTTTCCCTTGCTGGTTTTCAGCCATGCTTGCAGCGTGGCCCTAGAGATGGCCATGTCTGTGGATCGGTCCACCACTTGAAACATCTCAACAACTGTTGGCTGTAATGTCATGGCATTCCTGGTTACCAGGAGATTAATCCTAATTACTTTGATGAACCCATGACTTTTCCTCTTGCGTTACCAAGAGGTTGACATTTGACGTTTCGAGGGAAATGTCTTGATTGATTGTCCCTGTTGAGATGAATTGCAAAAACGTTCGTGATTCCCTAACTTTTTCTAAATTAATGACATTCCAATCAGGTATGGTATTTGTGTTAAGTGCTTCTTGTCACACGATCTCGCGAGATTAAAGTGTGACGAGATATCTCGTCGGTTAAAAAGCAAAGACACAGAAGAGGAGGGAAGACTAAATCATGAATCAGCAGGGATGATATTACAGGAGAAAAGCTGATCTGATCTGAAAGCAGCACAGAATGACTGAGAGCTGCACTGACTTAGATTCTGTTAGGCTATAGATTTTGAATTGTCTCCTGCCACCTGAGTTATGTGTTTCTCTTTACATACATTAAAAAAAAAATCACCATAAACTGGTGCAGAAAGTTTCATCAGAATGCAGGAAACAAAGTGTTTAATGCTCAAAATTTTCATATAATTCAGCATTAAAGATTTCTTAAAAATAGTGTTAAAATGTCTTCTCGTCTCGATCTTGTGAACCTAATCTCGTCTCGTGGGTTAAGTGTCTCGTCACACCCCTACTAATTAGCAAATGCTAAACCAAGATGGTGAATGTGATAAATATACCTGCTGAACATGCTGATGTTAGCATTTACAGTGGGTACGGAAAGTATTCAGCCCCCCTTTAAATTTTTCACTCTTTTTTTCATTGCAGCCATTTTCCAAAAATCAAAAAAGTTCATTTTATTTCTCAGTAATATACACTCAGCACCCCATCTTGACAGAAAAAAACAGAAATGTAGAAATTTTTGCAAATTTATTAAGAAAGAAAAACTGAAATATCACATGGTCATAAGTATTCAGACCCTTTGCTCAGTATTTAGTAGAAGCACCCTTTTGATCTAATACAGCCATGAGTCGTTTTGGGAAAGATGCAACAAGTTTTTCACATCTGGATTTGGGTATCCTCTGCCATTCCTCCTTGCAGATCCTCTCCAGTTCTGTCAGGTTGGATGGTAAACGTTGGTGGACAGCCATTTTCAGGTCTCTCCAGAGATGCTCAATTGGGTTTAAGTCAGGGCTCTGGCTGGGCCATTCAAGAACAGCCACGGAGTTGTTGTGAAGCCACTCCTTCGTTATTTTAGCGGTACGCTTAGGGTCATTGTCTTGTTGGAAGGTAAACCTTCGGCCCAGTCTGAGGTCCAGAGCACTCTGGAAAAGGTTTTCGTCCAGGATATCCCTGTACTTGGCCGCATTCATCTTTCCCTCGATTGCAACCAGTCATCCTGTCCCTGCAGCTGAAAAACACCCCCACAGCATGATGCTGCCACCACCCTGCTTCACTGTTGAGACTGTATTGGACAGGTGATGAGCAGTGCCTGGTTTTCTCCACACATACCGCTTAGAATTAAGGCCAAAAAGTTCTATCTTGGTCTCATCAGACCAGAGGATCTTATTTATCACCATCTTGGAGTCCTTCAGGTGTTTTTTAGCAAACTCCATGCGGGCTTTCATGTGTCTTGCACTGAGGAGAGGCTTCCGTCGGGCCACTCTGCCATAAAGCCCCGACTGGTGGATTGCTGCAGTGATGGTTGACTTACTACAACTTTCTCCCATCTCCCGACTGCATCTCTGGAGCTCAGCCACAGTGACCTTTGGGTTCTTCTTTACCTCTCTCACCAAGGCTCTTCTCCCCCGATAGCTCAGTTTGGCCGGACGGCCAGCTCTAGGAAGGGTTCTGGTCGTCCCAAACGTCTTCCATTTGAGGATTATGGAGGCCACTGTGCTCTTAGGAACCTTAAGTGCAGCAGAAATTTTTTTGTAACCTTGGCCAGATCTGTGCCTTGCCACAATTCTGTCTCTGAGCTCTTCAGGCAGTTCCTTTGACCTCATGATTCTCATTTGCTCTGACATGCACTGTGAGCTGTAAGGTCTTATATAGACAGGTGTGTGGCTTTCCTAATCAAGTCCAATCAGTATAATCAAACACAGCTAGACTCAAATGAAGGTGTAGAACCATCTCAAGGATGATCAGAAGAAATAGACAGCACCTGAGTTAAATATGAGTGTCACAGCAAAGGGTCTGAATACTTATGACCATGTGATATTTCAGTTTTTCTTTTTTAATAAATTTGCAAAAATTTCTACATTTCTGTTTTTTTTTCTGTCAAGATGGGGTGCTGAGTGTACATTACTGAGAAATAAAATGAACTTTTTTGATTTTTGGAAAATGGCTGCAATGAAAAAAAGAGTGAAAAATTTAAAGGGGTCTGAATACTTTCCGTACCCACTGTAGCTCAAAGCACAGATGTGCAGCCTAAAATAGAAATAGCAGATTGCATAGTTATATGTTTTGTAAAGTGTCATTATCAGTCAGTCTCCTCTCAGAACGCAACTAGCCACTATCACAAGTTACCCTCTTCACTCCCTGTAGGTCCGGCTCTCCACAGGCAAGGACCTGCGCCTCAGTGCCAGCATGGCCGACACCATAGGGCAACTGAAGAAGCAGCTGCAGGCCCAGGATGACATTGACGCCGCCCACCAGCGCTGGTTCTTCTCTGGGAAGCTGCTCACGGACAAGACGCGGCTGCAAGACACTAAGATCCAGAAGGACTTTGTCATCCAGGTCATCGTCAACCCGCAGGCCCTCCAAGCCCCCAAGCTGTCACCCACCACCATTGCCTCTTTGCCTGCATCTGAATAACTAAGGACACAGAGGATAGATGGAGGGATGGTGCGCTGGCTAGTGAGCTTGGTGGTGGACACTAAAGGACCAGAGGTGTCTCCTATTGCTGGATGACTGGTTAGCTTTTTGAGAACAGCTACTGTTGTTGAAATAAAATAAGAAAGGGGAGTTGCAAAACTATTTTGGAGGAAAAAAAACATGAGGGAGAAACTAAAAAGTGCTGCTTTCTTTCGTCTACATGTGTCATAAGTTTTTGGTCTGCTGGGTTGTTCAAGTAAATCCAGCCTCCACACAAACTCTGGAGATCCTTGTCTGGTCTCTCTTCTTGAATAAAAACAAAACTCATCCTGCTGTTGTGCAGCCTTTAAACCACATACAAAATGTGCACATCAAGCTGCACATGGAGACTCTGTAACTGCACTAATGCTAACAAAGTGCCAATGGAAGAAATGCAGAGGTGTTTGTGTTGGTTCTAAAGCACATTTCTACTATGACGCCCATGGACTCTGCACTGCAGTCCTTTTTTCCTCCACCGAAACAGGAGTGGAGGACAGAGAATGAGATACAGAACTATATTTTCTTTATTCTTTCTTTTGAGGAAATAATGTAAACTGAGCTTTTTTTGCACATTTGAAGATTATTACTATACTTTTGTGGTAGTTTGTGTGCCTTCTACAAGACGAAACAAAAAAGGGTTAATGTCCGGAAAAACACTAGTTTTACCGCTAGACTAAGACTTATGTATTTTTTTAGATTCAAGAACTCTTAGATCAATCCAAACTATAACTGCTGCCTTTAAAAAAAATTATTTCATGAATCTTACAGACAAAAGTTTATGTGTGTGTGTGTGTGGGCAAAAACAATATGTAGTTGGCCCGTATTATACATTTTAGTTTGACATGGCTTCAGAGACGAGGCTGTTTCCCTGGTTATTAGTCATAGCTTTACAGTCAATCATATCATATTGTCCAGTGAAAGCTAAATTCCCATACTAAGTGAATGGTCTTAAAAGCTTCATTATTGACCACTTAATTACCCCCAGACCACTAGGGGGCAGCCCTGATCCTGATAGTCCAGTTGCTTAGGGCTAGTTGTCCTTTTTCTTGCCATCTGATGAATGTAAATCCAGTATTCACTCTCATTTTGTTCTTTATGGCGTCCACTAACTTTAAAGAAAAATATCTGTCACATTTTATTCTCTCAGTTTTCACTTTCTTCACCAGCATACAGACGTCTGCCTACAGACGCATTGATTTATATGTGTGATTGGTGAGCACAATTAAGAGTTTAAATGGAGCGGTGAACCTAAACAATGATTCAGGTGTTGATTCTCAGTGGAACCAGCAAGACAACACAGCGACTCATACAGGAAGTGATTTGTTTTAGTGTTAATGTCAAATATTGCTTTAAGGGGCATTAGACGTGTAAATCAGTTTGGTTATCCCACTGAGCCTATGAAAACCATTATGATGTCATGCTGATGTCATCAAGGTTATCTCTGCTTGAGCTTGGAGATGAAAACTTTATAACAGAAAGCTTGATTACAAACTGGAGGTGTGGATTTTGAAAGAGGAGAGTGTGTGTGTGTGTGTGTGTGTGTGTGTGTGTGTGGGCAGGCAGTGAGGCGCCAACCTAAGGCGATCCAGCTACATTATGGGTAATGTAGGACCCAGTTTCTTGTTTATCTGACTTCACACAACAGACTAAAAGTCAGGATATCTTGGCCTCTGCTGCTTCTATTTTCACCATTATCTATAGCATAGTCCTCATGTTTTTACTTCCTGACAAAACAAAGCAAATAAATGATTTTATTTATGTTATGACCTTTTTGAGTTGACAGCATGCTGTGAGCACTCTCCCACTGCATTAACATTAGAATTTACTTTTGTTTTGTCTGGAGGGCAACTCTCAGAGCATGTTGTCCACCGTTTGCTTGCTCGTGCAGAAATGTTAAAATGAACAACCTTTTTATTTTTAAGACTGTCATGTGAATTATCCAGGTAGGAAAGTGGCTCAGCGGGACATATGGCATTTCCTAAATAAAATAAAAATGTAAGATAAAGATTAACACCCCCCCAATGAACTTTTCAATGTGAGGCATTTAGTTTACATTTGACTACGTGCCAGCTTTTCTGAGCAGTGTGTTAACATGTAAGGCAACACCAAACAACTAAGGAAACAGATTGCGGACATAATTGGAGATCTCAGTTTAATCCATGTGTATGGAAGCAAAGAAAGGCCATGATGATTAGTTTTTCCATTTAGTAATTGAATACCTTTTATTGTGAAATGTAACCACTGCTGGGTGCTTTTGTTAAATACCACTGAATTTATAGCACTGGAATATTTTGCTCTGGTTTGAATTCCCGTTTCAGATTTCTAGCAAGTCATTTTTAAGTTGTGAAATTTCAAAGATGACAAAATTGACACATCTAGATGGAAAATTCAAGTGGCCAGGTTTTCCATTTGCTCATCTGAACTTTTCCTTCTTGGATAGCATGACTCATGTAACCTGACAGGATAGAGGGTCGGTCGATTCCATTTAGGCTCGATTGCTCGTCTTTGGTAGCCTGAATGTTTCAGTTAACCTGAATTTCACCAATCCAACCTGGGCAGCTTTGCTTTTTTACTTGAACGTTTAGATCTGCAAAATGACTGAACAGTTTAACTTTTTTTAGCCACACTAGCAGCGTGGCTCTAGGGCTATACATTTTTGGGGTTTAGTCTCAACAACTGATGGATGGATTGACATGACATTTGGTACAGATGTTCATGTACAGCTAAGGATGATTTGATTAGCAAATGTTAGCATGCTAACATGCTGAAATAAGATGATGAACATGGTAACATTATACCTGTAACACATCAGTATGTTAGCATTGGCTTAAATCTGCTGTGCCTAAGTACAGTTTCACAGAGCCGTTGGCATGGCTGTAGACTTATTCTTGTTAGAACTACAAAATGAGGAATAGAATTTGAGCAACTTGTTGTTGTTTTTTTAGAGATTGGACACTTGAACCCTTTAAAAACAGACAGAATAAGTATTGTTTGAATCCCTATCAGATTTGGGTTACATCCCAAAATAGATATTTAGGCTATTCCCGGTTGAGAATCAAGACCTGCTTTGTGAATGTAGCCTGTATTGTGCTAGTCATGGTAGACTTCTCAGAGTTTAGTATTTTCCGTTTTCACCGACACGCTAGTCTATAGCTCTATGTTCATTGTCTTCAGTCACTGCTCCTGTCACACATTTCACAAGCAGTATGATGATGGAGGGAATAAAAGTGACCCATCAGTGTGAAACCTAACTGAGCCACAGCTCACCACATCAAGGAAATGTTTAATGTTTAATTTTAAATAAGAATTGTATTCTTTTGTCTCTTCTATCCAGTTTCAGCTCATCACAATCACCCTTTTTGTTATTTTGAAGCCATTCTTGCTTTCCTTTTACCAATTGTTCTTCTATTTCTTAATCGTTGTATGCAAACTTGAATAAGCATTCTGTATGTGCAATACAATTAGACATAGACCTCATATCATTTTTTGTTTTGTTCTTCTGACTCAGACACAGATTTCATACAGCACCAGCTATGAGTATTTTTAAAGAAATGTCAAAGTAAAGGTACAAGGCTGCTATAATCTGATGCCTGTGTCAGATAATAAGCTGCCTCTGTAAACTGTTACAAATGTTTGTCACTTTGAAATGTATTCCAAGCTGTCGTCTTGACTGTTGAGACGCACTCTCACCTTTCACAGAGTAAATATCTAAACATTAAAAATGACTACAAAACTTTTCTCTCCCGGTGTCCCTTTAGCACTCTGCCCTGCACGTCTCAGTGATGAAGGTCACGGTGTTCTCAAGCCTCAGGTTGGGGAGAAGCGCTGTTGACAACTTTACAGCTAGCGTCTCCTGTTACAGTGTCTTTGCAGAGCCATTGGTGGGTGTTAGTCCTCATGTGCCTGTGTTTTAACTCATGTTAGGAACAAGCACTGACCATGGTTTTATGTCGAACTATAGGGTACAACGTATTACTACAATGTAAAAGGGCTGAAGGAACTTTAGGCTGTCCCTTAGTTTGCAACCTTCAGACCTTTATATGAAGTCACACTCATATCGAAGATGAGTTCTCTGTTTTAAGGGAAGGTCATAGAAATGCAAAATAATGTGCTGCTCCTCTTTAATGTGCTGTGAAATACATGAGATGTTCTGTTTTCTAATTGGTGCATGCATATTTGGAAGATAATTATTTTTTGTTCTTTTTTTTGTTGTCAAAACCCACCATGACCCCGTCATAGTTGTAGCAACCGTTTATCTCCAAAAGTACCCAGATAGAACTTTAAAATAAATGTTTCCTTTATTTCTGTTTAGATGTAGTGGAGTATGATGTCCTTGACTTAAGAAAAGGGCCTGAAGGTTACAGTGCTTGTCAGTTTCCACTTTAGCGTCTCATGTAAAATCAGACTCGGCAGACACAGAGGTCGGACAGGTCCCCTCCTGCCTTTTCAACCTCCTCTACTGTAACACAGTAGAGGGTTTTAGAAAGATCTGTTCCTTCATCTCTTTCCTTATCTTACTTTACTTCACCTCGGTTATGAATTTATGAAGTTGAAGTCCACCAAGTGAATCCTCTCATTTTAGTAAAGACAAAAGGGAAAATAGTTTGAAAACATTTAATAAAGGGCACACATTTTTAGGGAGTATTGGCAAAGAGATGTGCTAAGTAGTGAAGTTGACTTTATTCAACAACAACAACAAAGAGCTTTCCACTACATCTTCCTCATTTTTTAACACATTCGAGACTCGACTTAGAACAGGTTGCCTGTATGTGGTCGTGCATAGCTGGAATTGAAATGTATTTAAAGTTGGTATTAAAAGCCATAATGGGAATATTTATTCCACATTAACTGACAGCCAGTGCCACTCCTTGCATCCCTTCCCTTTAAGAACTCAAATTCCCAGAAGGTATTGCAGTTACATAGTTTTCACACAAAAACAATATGCCAGTGCACTTTTCAGATTGTCCCTTGAGAATGTGTCTGTGTTTTTAGTCACACATAAAAAAAGGAATGATAAATGACACTTTGGTTTGTTCAATTTATATGCTGATTTCATTTTCAATCATGTTTTTAAACAGTTGAATAAATTTTAGTGTGAAGAGAAAGATTATCTTGTGATAATTCTTAAAATGAGCCTTAAAGCGTTCAATTGGTTGACTTTGTTCTACAGTAAAAGAAAGATATTTGGCTTTACCACAAGATGGTGCTCTGCTCTTGAGTGTGCTGAGGCTTCCTGGGCAGTGGTAGGAATGAAGGCAGGAAGATGGAACACACACAGCTTTGTTTGTCTCAGCCTCGAACATATCCAGGCATCAATCAGATGATTTACATTCTGAGTGTTCCTGGAAAGCAGCGTTGCACAACTTGAGAAGGTGAAAACATGGAGCAAGGAAAATTTGTTTTTCACAAAGACAAACTTGAGCTCAGAATATTGCTCCCAAAATGCCTGCAATCAAAGGTAGCTTTATGGGCATATAAAGTGTTCAGCTGTGGCCTGCATGTGTATACAAGTTACTTATACACATAATTCAACAACCCACCACATTCACATTAATGTTATTATGTCGCCATCTCAGTTGCTTGAGGCTCACATCACTAATGTTTCAAGATTGCATTTTGCCACCATCAATCAAATCAACCATTCACCATCTGTCAATCAAACGGTGTGGGTGGGAAGGTAATGGTCTTTCTAGAATTTTCTCTTGATGAGGTTTCTGCAGGTGGCGCTCTTTCCACCTCAAGAATTACAACTTCTGGTGAAAATCAGTGGTTGTGATGATTACCAAATTTTCCTTCTGTTTATAACAAACACACCACAGCTGTGAAATCCATCATTTCGTGCCTGAACTTCAGGAAAAGGCCACCAGACTTCAGTTAAGTGTAATGTATCAACTGTGCTCAGGTTTAGTCAGTATTTTGTCATAGTAAATAGCAAGTTGAGGCATTTCCTTGAAAATACTGCTCATTATTTCTGTCATGTTGCATATTTTGCAGTAGCTGACATCTTCTCAGCACATGAAGAGGGAACTTTTCAAGCACTAGATCTCTGTCTCACTCGCAGTCTCTGCAAATACGGTCAACACAGGGTCTCCAGAGGGTTGTGGTGCACCGGGCCTGGAAAAAGCCCCTATTGACGGTGGAATTTCACAGGGAGAGCTGTGTTTGTGGTCACTCGCCCAGTCAGCCTTCCAGCCTTCTTCTAAACTCTGTTCCCCCCACTGACAGACCCAGGATGACCCTGACGCCAAAGCAGAGAGCTTGAAGGGTTTGGACACAAAATTGTCCCATGCCTGATTGGACTGGATTTGTTTTATGAAACTGTGTGTCTAATTTTCTTTCCTCTCTGCCTTTTTTTTGGTGTGTGGTGCTAAACACCATAAAAGTGGACACATAAGAGTGGACACCATAAACTTTTACACTAATCCTCCACAATGAAATGGAAAGACATGGCATTTTAGGAGATTACTTTAAAATACAGTGCTCAAATGCACCAACTGGCACAGTGAGATCAAGATTTACCCCCTTTTTAGTCTATATGTGTAATATATGTGTAATGTCCATCCATCAACCGCTCATCCTGTGTACAGAGTCGCGGGATATGTGTAAAGTGTATAATTTAATTTGTCTTTATTTTCTTTTGTGGCATAAACTTGAATTGTTTAGTTTTGAGACTTAATGTTTATTAGTTTAGACAGAGGTAGGCCCTTTTTATGAACTCCTCTGTTACAAGCTCATAAAGAGCTATAAAATAAGACTTACTAATTTTGTACAAAAATCTCCCCCAAAAGACAAACCTAGCTTGTCAAAAAGTACAGCTATGACTGTAGCTATGACCGTCAGTATGGTATGGACTGTGTAAAAAAAAGGTATGGTGGCAAGTCTGACCCACAGGAAGTAGTGAATCAAAAATAAGAGTAAAATAAAAAAACATCAAGAAAAAGCTGGATTTACCAGCAAGTCTCCTGCATGCCCACCCCTACTGGACATAAGGACTATGTTCCCTTAAAAGTTGGAAATTCCCAATTTATAGGATGTTATTACAACTTCTGTAGGTTTCATTTTGACTGACTGTTGGCTTGCTGCACTAAAACTAAAGCTTAGCATTAGCAGGAGCATTTGCTAATTTAGCACAGACAGTTTTGACCATGTTCACAGCAAATGGGTTTATTTTAACAGTGTATAAAACTCCTTTGTGGTCAGGATGAGAAGGTAAAATTACCTATATAACCTATGTGTAAAAAATCTGCAAGACAGCCACACAGGAAGTGAGCTTGGTTGAAACCTATCGAGCAAGTCGTTTATGAAGAAGTTTGTAACTAACATTTGCATTTTAATATTAGCAAGGTGTGGAATAAGATAATGCTTACATTTAACGTTAGTCAGCTAATGTGTCATTAAATATATTAGCGATATTGTGAACTGAAGTTACGGTGGTTACCTTTTTATCCTAAGCGAGAAAGGACAAATTTCTGGGAAGTAATTTTGAAGATTGAAGGCAGTACTGCAGGCACACGTAATGCAATTCAGTCAAATCACACTGAAAATTAAAACACCAGAAAGGTTTAATAATGTTCAGTTAACACTCCTGAGTGGAGAAAGACTCAACTTTTTCAGGAACAATCGTCTGCTAATGGAAGTTTGGGATCTCAATTCAGGGACCCTACTCTGGCAAACCTAGGACCCCAGATGTCAAACGTGCAGCTGGACCCTCTTGGACAGTGCCACACAAATGCGTTTTTATAGACTTTAAAAAGGGGGTAGTGCTATGTAATATTTATAGCAACAGATATCTACTGCTCATTAAAAAAATTAAAGTCCTGAGAGATCTTGACAGAAAAAGAACAATAAATGTAGTTTACTAAAGGTACTATATGATTTCTGAGTGATGAAACACTCTTGCTGCTATTTGTGCAACCAGGACCTTTGGGTTCAAAGGCACAGCTCTACTTATTCATTCCTCGCTCTTTTCCATCACCAGTGATTTTCCAGCATTTACCACTATAGGAGATATTTTCTAGTTTTCCCTCAACACATTTTTACTTGAAAGTAAACATTTTGACACTGTAAATTGGTTAAAATCTAGACTTCATTGTTGTTTTCTTTTATCTGATGGCTTGATTACATTGTGACTGACAGAAGAAGAATAAATTAGCTGTGGATGACTGTGTTTGGTGGAACTCCCATTTCCAAATATGCTTTGTGTCATAGCAGCAGTAAACAGTTCAACATTGGAAAATGTTCCAATATTTCTTCATGATCATGTTTTTTTTTTTTTTTTTTTTTACAGGGAACACACATTTGTTTCCCTTCTCCTCTGCAGCTCTTGGAACAGTGTCATGCTGGCTTGCTTTTTAACAAAAACACCCCATTATCCCTGCTCATCTCTTTCGGTGTGATGTGTACTTCATGTTAGTGAACCTACAGAAATCTCCTATGCTGATTTACAGGAACTGGAGGCCAATCGTGAGTCATCAGGATGTTGATGGGAGGAAAGCGTGTGCTGTCTGTTAAATACAGGGCAATGTTATGCAAAGCACTTTTGTCTTGCAACAGAGGACTCTAACCAAACTAGATAAAGAAGAAAAAATCCTCTCTGCACAGGGATGGGTGGCTAGTCTAGTGTGTGTGTGTGTGTGTGTGTGTGTATGCATATGTGTGCTCATGGGGCTAGTTATGAAGGCTTTAAAGCTTATCCCTGGACTCCTGCTCTCTCTGGACTCTCATCCACTTACCTAACGCTCACCTAATACTCTAATGTGTGTGTGTGTGTGTGTGAGTCATCTAATACTTTCTACCGTAAACTACGACCGTGTACCTGGTCACCCCATGGCCTGACAAACCACGTCACAGCGCCCATTGGGAGCAGCGCCATGGGACGATCTCCAAGGTTTAGCATTGCAGTTAATGCAGGAAGGTGTGTATGTAAGGTCTTGTTTGGCAGACGTAAAGGTCTCAGGGTTACTATGAGACACTTTAGGTGAAAGTAAAGTAATGAAAGGGATATGGTTGACATATCTGACCTGATACTTGATGGAAATGCTGTTTGATAAAGAAATAACCCAGGAAGATTACAAAATAACAAAGTATACTTCAAATTACATTTAGTCTAACATGTTAGACTAAATCACCAAATAAGGTTGAAATTTCATTTTGTAACACACATTTCTCCATGGATACATACATAAATAAATCAAAGTCTTGTCTACATTTAGAAAGGCTTGACATTTAATCTTAAGATATCGGTTGGCCTCCATTTTGTGAGACGCTACAGTGACTTATAGTTTCCTGTGTTGATGGTGCAGCCCATTAAG